TCATCAAAATTAATAAAATTTACGAAGAAAATTGGCCAGAAAATAAGAAATTATATTAAATATATCGATATTTTTGATAGTATAAGAAAAAACTATCAATGAGTATTGATAGTCTAAAAAAATTGAAACTATCGATACTATCGATAGTGCTATCGATAGTTTGACAGCTATAGTGGCGGCTTGCATTGCGAGATGACGGGAATAATTGTTTCACCCGAATGACCGCCAATTACTGGTATATTAACTTTGCACGGTTCAACATCTAATATATGGCCAATGAATGTGCGTGCACGCACCTCATCGAGCGTGGTTATGCCGAATAGGCGTTTGGGATCGAAAGAATTTTTCTATAATGCAATGAAAGACACGAGAAAACAAGTTAATGGAGATACAAATGAGGCGTTTTAAAAACTAAACACACCTGCTTGAGGATTTCCGCTGCCGCTGGTACGCACGAGTTAACGGGATTTGTGATAATGCCCAACAGAGCTTTTGGACAATGTTCACCGATTGCGGCAGCAATTTCCAATACAATGTCTATGTTTTTCACAATTAGGTCATCACGTGTCATATCCGGTTTGCGTGGGAAGCCAGCCGAGAGGATGACAACATCGGCATCTTTTTGAGTAAAGTTAGAGGGAAAAGAGAGATTAAAGAAAATGCAAAACTTCTCATTGAACTCACTCTCCAAAGCCGGTGGTAAATTTTCTCGACGCAGAAAGCCCTCCAAGCAAGCTTTTGTATCGATGTGCGACAGATCGGTATGCACGCCCGGTGTCTTAACCAGATCGTAAACGGCCAATGTGGATATTAATTCAAGACGTTTCAAAAGCAGCGCCAAGGGTTGTCCAATGCCACCACAGCCACCAATCAAAGTTACTTTGAAGTCATTCTATTTTGCAATGGAATAAAGAACTGATGATGCAATAAAATGGTAGGCAATTTTACATTTTACCTTTTTTGTAGTCGAGAAGTTACGCAAAAGCCGGATGAAACGCCCAAGTCTTGAATAGCTTAACATTTGTATAGCGCGAGTGGTAATTTTACTCGTTGTTTATATTTT